CGCGCAGGCCTGAGCGGGACCTCGCCGTCCTTGGGGGTCTGCGATCTGCGACGGTGTCGCCACTTTCGAGGGCTGCTGGTGCATCCAGAGGACTGAGGCGCCGAACAGACCTGAGCGGGACCTCGACGTCCCGTTGGGGGGTTGCGATCTGCGACATTGTCGCCATTTTCGAGGGCTGCTGGTGGGTCCAGCGGAGCTAGGCACCGCGCAGACCTGAGCCGGACCTCGCCGTCCTTGGGGGGCTGCGATCTGCGACGTCTCGCCATTTTCGAGGGCTGCTGGTGGGCTCAGAGGAGTGAGGCACCGCGCAGACCTGAGCGGGAACTCGCCGTCCCTGGGGGGTTGCGATCTGCGGCATTGTCGCCACTTTCGAGGGCTGTTGGTTTGTCCAGCGGACTGGGGCACCACGCAGATCTGAGCGGGACCTCGCCGTCCTTGGGTGTCTGCGATCTGCTACGTTGTCGCCACGTTCGAGGGCTGCTGGTGGGTCCAGCGGGGTGAGGCACCCCGCAGACCCGAGCGGGACCTCGCCGTCCCTGGGGGGCTGCGATCTGCGACGTTGTCGCCATTTTCGAGGGCTGCTGGTGGGTCCAGCGGAGTGAGGCACCGCGCAGACCTGAGCGGGACCTCACCGTCATTGGGGGTCTGCGATCTGCGACGTTGCCGCCACTCCGTGGAGGGCTGCTGGTGCATCCAGAGGAGTGAGGCACCGCGCAGATATGAGCAGGACCTCGCCGTCCCTGGGGGGCTGCGTTCTGCGACGTCGTCGCCATTTTCGAGGGTTGCTGCTGGGTCCAGCGGAGCGAGGTACCGCGAGGCTTGAGCGGGACCTAGCCGTCCTTGGGGATATGCGATCGGCGATGCTGTCGCCATTTTCGAGGGCTGCTGGTGGGTCCAGCGGAGCGAGGCACCGCGCAGACTTGAGCGGGACATCGCCGTCCTTGGGGGGCTGCGATGTGCGACATTGTCGACACTTTCGAGGGCTGCTGGTGGATCCAGAGGAGTGAGGCACCGCGCAGACCTGAGCGGGACTTCGCCGTCCTTGGGGGGCAGCGATCTGCGACATTGTCGCCACTTTCGAGGGCTGCTGGTGGGTCCAGCGGAGTCAGGCACCGCGCAGACCTGAGCGGGACGTCGCCGTCTTTGGGGGTTTGCGATCTGCGACGTTGTCGCCACTTTCGAGGGCTGCTGGTGGGTCCAGCGGAGCGAGGCACCGCGCAGACCTGAGCGGGACCTCGCCGTCCCTGGGGGGCTGCGATCTGCGACATTGTGGCCACCTTCGAGGGCTGCTGGTGGGTGCAGCGGAGTGAGGCACCGCGCAGGCCTGAGCGGGGCGTCGCCGTCATTGGGGGTCTGCGATCTGCGACCTTGTCGCCACGTTCAAGGGCTGCTGGTGGGTCCAGCGGGGTGAGGCACCGCGCAGACCCGAGCGGGACCTCGCCGTCCTTGGGGCGCTGCGATCTGCGGCATTGTCGCCACTTTCGAGGGCTGCTTGTGGGTCCAGCGGAGTGAGGTACCGCTCAGACTTGAGCGGGACCTCGCCGTCCTTGGGGGGCTGCGATCTGCGACCTTGGGGGGCTGCGATCTGCGGCATTATCACCACTTTCGAGGACTGCTGGTGGGTCCAGCGGAGCGAGGCACCGCGCAGACCTGAGCGGGACCTCGCCGTCCGTGGGGGGCTGCGAGGTTGCTGGTGGGTCCAGCGGAGCGAGGCGCCGCGCAGACCTGAGCGGGACCTCGCCGTCCTTGGGGGGCTGCGATCTGCGGTATTGTCGCCATTTTCGAGGGCTGCTGGTGGGTCCAGCGGAGTGAGGCACCACGCAGATCTGAGCGGGACCTCGCAATCTTTGGGGGTCTGCGAGCCTTACGAATGCCGCTCGCAGGAGTATATGCGCCCATGCCACGTCATCGCCTCCGTATAACGTCTCCCAAGCTACTCTTGACCCGCATTGCGCATGGGTTGGATATGTCGCCAGGGTAATGTGATGCTTCTCGAGGGACTCTTGGAGGGGTCTTTGGGGCTTCTGGGGTGCCGCCTTGGGGCCTCTTGTGGCCTCTTCGCGCCTCTTAAGGTGCTTTGGGGCGTCTTGGGAGCCCGTGGGGGGGCTTTGGGGAGCAATCTTGGGGCGGAAGGCTCGAACTGTTCGTTCGCTTTCCCCCTCTTGGGCCACCCGTGGGGCCCCCTCTTTGGCCGTCTTGGGGGCGATCTCGAGGCGACTCGAGGCTCTTTTTGGGCCGTCTACGCGGCCCCCTGGGTCCCTCGGGGCCCGTCCTGGGACCCTCCTGGCTTCAGAAGACGCACGCGACACACCCCAGCAGGAGAGGGAGGAGGAGGAGGAAGAGGAGGAGGAGGAGGAGGAGGAGGTGGAGGAGGAGGAGGAGGAGGAGGAAAACCTCCTGGAGATTTCCAGGAGTGCCCGGAAAACCTGGCGTCCAGGCCCTCAAGAGCCAGAGTCCTGGCTGCAGCAGCCGCACAGCCGTGAGCCTTGGGGCACGCCGTTTCGTGCCAGCGGCACGGTGGCGGATGTAGTACACGCCGGTCGTTGAAAGCAGGTATTGGAGAGGCCTGACGGCCGGTGCCGCCGACCCTGATCGAAAGGGCTAGGAGTGTGGGGAGGAAGCGGAGGATGAGGAGGAGGAGGAGGAGGAGGAGGAGGAGGAAGAGGAGGAGGAGAAGGAGGAGGAGGAGCAGGAGGAGGAGGATGAGGAGGAGGAGGAGGAGGAGAAGGAGGAGGAGGAGGAGGAGGAGGAGGAAGAGGAGGAGGAGGAGGAGAAGGAGGAGGAGGAGGAGGAAGTGCATCCTTTGTGTGCCCGCTCGAAGAAAGTGCGCCCCGGGAGTGTGATATTCTGACTTGGGACGTGTTCCCGGAAGAGGAAGAAGTGCTTCTCGGGCGTGCCCGAGAGAGGAAAATTCTCCTTAGGGGGGTGGTATTTTGACTCGGGGCCCGCTCCCGGGACGCCTCTGCGGCGGGAGGAGGAGGAGGAGGAGAAGGAGGAGAGGAGCAGGAGGAGGAGGAGGAGGTGGAGAAGGACAAAGAGGAAGGACCAGGAGGAGGAGGAAGTGCATCCCGTGTGTGTCCGCTCGAGGAAAGTGCGCCCCGGCGGGCGTCGTATCTGCCACGGACCCCCCCCCCTCTTCCCCCCCCCTGCGGGGAAGGGATCAAAGGGAAGGGGCTTCCCTTCGACTCCACTACGACGTTGTTTAATTTCGCTTTGGATAGCACGCTTGAGAAGGAGAGCCCTGGGAGGGGGAGGACGGAGACGACGGAGACGACGAGTCGAACGGAGAAACCCCTCACACACGCCGGCAGTAGTACACGCCGGTGGTTGAAACCAGGTATTTCTGGATTCCCATATCCCAATCTACTTCAAGCGCCTTCCCACTTCAAGAATCGACACGCCTTTGCTGTGTTTTGTTGTTATCTGGGGGGGCGGGGCTGGACCCAATCTACTTAATCCGCCTTCCTACTTCATGTTTTTACCTACTTCATCCGACCGACGTGTATAGCATGCGAGCGTGTCTGGCGATTGCGGTCGAATGGCTGTAATTGTGGCCGTGCTGCTCACCTTTGGCCATCATTGCGTTTACGGACGGGGACGTTTGGCAACCAGTCTGTGTTTTGTCTAATTGAGGCGAATTCGCAGGTCGTGAGCTTTAGTCGCACGGCCTACTTGGGTGCCAATGTGCCGTCATTGATACGTACAGTGGCATGGATATGAGTTGGTATGGGTAATTTCTTGCGAGCGAGGAGCGACCACATTCTAGCAAGCGTGGACCCAACGTCGTAATTCCATTTGGAGACAAAGTGTATTGTGTATGTTTTGGTGTTGTGGATGGTGTGGGGGTGTTGTCATGGGTGCCCTCATGGGTTCGTGATGGCTGCCGGTCAGGTGGAGGAGAGGGCGTTTCATTAACAGGGCACAGTGATCACGACACCCCTCCCAGACGAAGATTGTTTGGCTCACTCCCATCCGCCCTCTAGACACATAAGCAGCACCCGAGTCTAAGCATATTCAGCGGTCGGCTTCGGATGGACAGCTTTTGGGGACCAAGACATACCTCAGGTGCGCGACGTTGGGGTGGGATTCGCTACGCGTGCCATGCGTGCCACGCGTACCAGGCGCGCAAGGCGCCCCTAAGGCCCAGGCGCACCGCATGCTCCAGCCGCGTCAGGTGCGCCACCTTCGTGGCTCGCGCAGAGTTTGCCAGGTGCGCCCGCGTACATCGGTAAACATGTTGGCCTCCGCCATCCTTGCCGAAAACCACCGAGCAATCGCGACGGAGTGGGCATCATGATGTCTGATGGGCCTGCGCACAGCAGGCAACGTGACAGCACCCCCGCCTTCCCTTTCAAAACCCAATGCAAACTCGGTGTGCCAGCGCATGGTCCAGATTTAGCCGACCCGCGTGAAGCAGTTTGCATCTGACTTTTGAAAATGATGGTGGCCCTTCGCACAACAGAACATTTGCTGCCCCCCCGCCGTCCCTGTCAGAAACAATACGAAGTGCTTGCGCCCCCCCGAGCATGACCTTAGATTTTCCTGCAATGTGTACTTTGCATTGCTTTTGACAGGGATGGTGGGGGCCTTGGCATGGCACAGTGCAGGTTTTATGCCAGCACCCCTGCCGTCCCTGTCAAAAACCATTGCTAAATGGTCGCGGAGCGCCCGCACATGCTCCAGAGTTGGCCGTACCCCTCACTCCCTCCCGCCCGCCCAGCATGCCTCCGCAACTCGGACCTCAATACCCGAAGACGCCAATCGCCACCATCTAGCGTTTTGCTCGCCTGGATCCTCCCGGAGCCGTCCTGGCCCTCCCCCCCCTCTGCGGGCGCCGGCGGGCAGGTGCTGGCCCGCGTGTGCGCGTGCGGGCGCGCGCGGGCGTGCGCGCGCGCGGGCGCGTGCGCGCGCGAGCGGTGCGCGCGCGGGCGAGCGCGGCGAACGCGAGCGTGCGCGGGCGCGAGCGGGGCGCGCGCGGGCGCGCGCCCCCCCGCTGGCAGGGGCGGGGCCACCGCCGTCGCCATCTTCCTGCGGGCGGATGGGTCCCAGGCCGCGTTCGCGTGGGTCGGGGACTCGTCCGCGGTGGTCATCCGCGGGGGCGACCGGGGCGGCCCAAGTGGAGCTGCGCGACAGTCCCCGGGCTCGGGGACCAAGGTGCGAGGTCTCTGATTGGTCTCGTTTGACCGATCGGAGAAACATCGGCAATAGCCAGCCAGGCACACTACTCCTGCGTGTGCGCCGTGCCCACAGAACCCGCGCAGACAATGGAACATCTTCAGTACAAACGCCGTGGCTGCCGTTTTGTGGCCATGCTTCCTGGGGAATGACGTGCTGCAAGAATTGCGCACTCTATTCAGAAATGAAAGAAGCAACGGAAAAAACACAGGCACAACGAGTCGTCGACTTCCGCGAAAATATGGGAAGCATGGACAGCAGAGGCAAAGACGACCATCCAGAGCGTGCGCAAACATAGGAGGAATCCTGGTGTTTGTGTTTATGCCTGTGTGTGCCGTGTGCCACTGGGCTCCTTCATATATGAGGCGTTCCAGAAAGGGCCTTGCCTTCGAGGATCGAAGGAAATGCTATCTCTTCCTCGGTGGAAGGTCGGCGGAAGCAACACGAGGCCGCCTCCGCCGGCGGAAGCGAGCGGAAGCTCGGCGGAAGGCGGCGGCAGTAAAAGAGGTGCCCCCCAAGAGGCGAACACGTTTTTGTGTTCAGGGTTGGGATGATGAGGAGGAGGAGGAGGAGGAGGACGAGGAGGGGGAGGGAGAGGAGGGGGAGGGGGAGGGAGGGGGAGGGGGAGTGGAGTGGAGTGGAGCAACCCGGAAGCGAACGAGTCAATGCCCCCGCCGCCCTAGGCCAACCGTGAGGACCATCACGGCTGGAGTCGGCGCGAGCTCGCATAGGAGGCTTACCGCAGCGAAACGCACAAAAGGCGACGCGCGTCACTAAAGGCAGCAGCGCCGCGAAGCGCGGCAGACGCACGAAAAAGGCGAGAGACGTACCCGACGCGCGCCAGGGGCGCCACGTGCGCCAGGAGGCAGCAGCTGAGCCAGTAAAGCGCTCTACAAGCCCGTTCTGACATTTGGAGGCCTCAGATAGCGACACGCCGCGCGTGCCGCCCCGATCAGCCACCCGAGGGGCACCACTCCCCCGGGGACAGCCCGCCCCCACGCGGAGGAGGAGGGGAAGGAGGCGGAAGAGGAGGAGGAGGAGGAGGAGGAGGTGGAGACGTTTTTGGGTGCCCAGGAGGTGGAGGAGGTGGAGGAGGAGGTGGAGGAGGAGGAGGTGGAGGAGGAGGAGGGGAAGGAGGAGGGGAAGGAGGAGGTGGAGGTCTCCCCCCCCCCCCCAGAGGTGAAGACGCTTTTTGGGTGCAGGGTCTCCGAGAACTCGCCCCCACAGGGTCCGGTCGGGCGTGCGCCTCTCCCTCCGGGGGTTGCCCTGGGTCTCCTCCTGCGTTTCGGTGGTTTGGCTGTGGGAAGCGTGGCGCGCCCACAGCCAAAGCTCGATGTCGAGGACGTCCTGTCGCAGGCGATGTTTCTCCCCAAAGCCCCGAGTTTCGCCCGAAAAGTCTGGCCGCTCAGAAAAATGGAAAAACCCTGGGATACATCCCAAGGGGGCTATTCGGACGCACCCCTATCGAGGATGGGCACCCCCCCCATCGTATATCCCAGGGTTGGGCCCCAAATTTCTGGTCCATTCGGAAACCCCACGAAGCCTGGGATAGGGGTCGACGTATCCCTTGTTATCCTGGGGTCTTAGGGTTGGGTTTCTTGTGGAGGGTCTCTTGCGGTCGAGCGTCAAGTCGGGCCCGTCCCTCCACAGGAGGCATCTGCAAAACCATAGTTCACATGTTCATTGGGGGCGCTCTTCTGATATCATTTGGTGGAGCATCTTGAGGCATCATAGTGTGTTCCCCCTCCAAGATCCGCCTGTGGGGGGACACACGCCCGGCCTAAGTTGAGCTCCTGCGGTGCATGTTCCGGCCGGGCGTACGCCTCCGAGCTGGTCTATAGTATTGCAGCATGCTTCTCTGTGCGAGCAGACGCTTTCGGAGCTCCAGTGAAGTCGGGCATGTCCCTCCACAGAAGGAGTGTATTCCAAAATGGTCAAGCAAATAGGCTGGGGACGATTTGTCCAGTATTTGGGACTCTGTTTGCACACTGTTTTTGACGATCTTCCACTGTTCTTCCAGGCTCCGCCTGTAGGAGGACATGCCCGACCTAAAGCTCCGCGCGGATTTATTGGATCCCGGCTGGGCTTCCTTAGCGGCGCCTCCGTCACGGCCCTAGCGTGCTCCGCGCCCCAGGGAGGGGGGTTCAGCGCTGATCCAAGAAATCCGCGCGGAGCTCTGAATTGTTTTGGAAATGCTTCTCTCAGATCCACGCGTTTTCGCCCAGCTTCAGGCCCCGGGACCGTCACAAATCGCTCCAGCTCGGGAAATGCCGGAGAAAGATTGAGCCTCGGGCTCTGGCCGTGATTCCTCGCGGTGTTGTAATTTCTTCGCAGCGTCGGTGTTCGGTGGATGTCCTGCAGTCGGGCCGCTGAAGAAGGAACTCTTGTCGTTGGGGAGGAGCTCAGTGCTCCTTCATTGTTTTGCAGTCCGTCTTGGGTTGCCCTCAGGTTTGCGATGGGAAATCGGAGCTTAACTTATGGAACAAATCAGGAGGGAAATCAACACACAGACACAATTAATCCTCGATTCCCAGGAACATATGGGGAAATATGGGAATTGGGGGGGAAGACAAAAACCCAGAAAATATGGGAAAATATGGGGACTATTTTTATTTGTGTGTATTTATTTGTGTGTCCTAATTTCCCTTTAACAAAGGGGTCTCGTTCCTCATCCCTGGTTCCTTTGGGCAGCGTTCCAACTGTTTGGGGGGCCTCTTCGAAGGCACCCTGAGGCGGTCTTCTCTCCGCCTCTCCCGAGGCCCTGGGGCCTCCCGGGGGCCCGCCGAGACCCCAGGGAGGGCGGGGGAGAGGACGAGGAGGGCCTACACCTTAGGCGATGCTTAAGAAAACCTAAGTTTTCGGCCAGAGCCTCGATTATTCTTAACATTTCAATGTAAATCCTAAGATTTTGATAGAAATCTTGGGTTTTTGTTCAAGTTCTGAGACTATGAATTTCTTAACCCATGATTTCTTAAGCATTTCGCAGGGTGTACAGGAGGAATCTTGAATATTAGTTGCTTTTTTTTTTCGTCCAACGTGTGCCTGTAGGGGGGCCATGCCCGACCGAAGTCCAGGACCCCCCCTTCGCCAGTCCTCCGCGGGGCTGGAGTGGCGGCGCACAGACGGTTGCGAAACAAAAAACATGACGGGAGGTTTTCCTCAATTTTTGGCCTCTGGGGGGCCCTCGTGAGGCCCTGGGACCGTCAACAAAAACTGCCCAGGATGGAAAAACCGGTCCCGTGGAAAGGGTCGGGATTTTCGGGGACCGCGCAACGAAACAATATGGACGTCGCATGTTTGGGGGCAGGGGGAGCGGGAAAGACTTCTTAGAAGAACACCGGCTTCTCAGAAAGCGCGGGCCTTGCCTACAGGTGCAGGGCCCGTGCCTTGTAAGAATCAGACTCCTCCTAAGACGTCGTTCACCACACCTGCCCCTTTTGTGCGCGCCGCCACGAGGAGGAGGAGGAGGAGGAGGAGGAGGAGGAGGAGGAGGAGGAGGAGGAGGAGGAGGAGGGGGAGGAGGAGGACCAGTGTAAACGGAAAAGTCATCAACGCTGGTGGGCTTAACTCTCTCTCCAAGCTCCCACTTCATAGGCCCCATACAACAGTTCATTTCCATTGAGGGAACTGCCTCGCTGGAAAACAACAGTTTGACGATCCTGAAGCGTGTCAAAACATTGCTCTCGGGATTTCAGCGCCACGTATAAAGAACGAAATTTTTGGGATTTCAACACAGCGAATCCACATAACTGTTGCGCCCGCATAGTGCAGAATGCTCCCAAGACACCATTTTTGGTACGTTGTTCATGGGAATCCGTGAAATTATTGATTTTTTGTTTTAAAATTATTTTCTAAAAAAAATGCGCGGCGCTAAGGCGAGAGTCGCATTTTGAAAACCACCCGCCCTCAATTCGTGAAACGCTTGCATTTTTTGGGGCGAATGCGCGCGGCGCTAAGGCGATATCCACAGTTTGAAAACCACCCGCCCTCAATCCGTGAAACTCTTGCAGTTTTTTGGAACGAAAGCGAAAGCCGCATTTTGAAAGCCACCCGCCCTCAATCCGTGAAGCTCTTGCAACTACTTAAAACGAATGTGCGCGGCGCTAAGGCGAGAGCAACATTTTGAAAACCACCCTCCCTCCATCTGTGAAGCTGCTGTCTTTTCTTAAGCGTCAGAGTTAATAGTGGTGAGGACGTCTCAGGCGAAACGCCCGGCCCGCCCAAAAAACTGGCCTCAGGGTGCGACAGGGAAACGTTTCTTTTGAGGAGAAGGAACGGAGGAGGAGGCGGAGGCGGAGGCGGAGGAGGCGGAGGAGGAGGCGGAGGATGAGGAGGAGGTGGTGGTGGTGGTGGCCTGGGGAGGCATCGGGTGGGGCCGCGGGCACAACCCCTTTAGCAGCGCCTCCCGTTCAGGGATGGCTGGGGTACAGCCCACCGCCTGTCTCGGGGATCCAGCAACCGCAGCGTCACGGCGCAACTCGGTCCAAGAGACCTCCAGGGGCGACCCCCCCTGGGACCTCCGCCTCCACCACGCAGACCACAGGAGTGCCAGCTGCACCCTCCTCCCTTATCCGTATAACCATTTTGGCTCATGGCCATGGAGCACCCGACGGCCGCGAGTCGTCCGCGGCGCTTTGAGCGCGAGGGTCACCGCGCTTTGGGCCAGTTCACTCCTGCTTTGTGCTCCCTGTCTTCGCGGCGCGGGGACGCGGGCCGTCAGCCTGCGCAGCCTTGGCCATGGCGCGCTCCTCGCGAGGCGGCAGCTGTGGCAAGCGCAGCAGGCCATACTGGATGTGCAGCTGCGGCGGTTGGAATTGGGACTGGCGCTCCACGTGTCTCAGCCGTGGGCATGCCGCACCGCCCTGGGCGCTGGGAATCCCTCCCGCCATGGCGAAGCCCAAGGCCGACAAGGACGGCTGGGTGGACCAGCCACGCGGGCGCCGAGCTCAGCGGCAGGCCCGCAGTGCAGCCTCGCGTGCGGCATCCACCAAGACGCAGACCTCGGCTTCAGCGGCGAGCGGGGCGCCCAGCGGCGGTGGCGTCACGGCGATCGAGAAGCTGCAGGCAACGGTCGAGCAGCTGGAGGCGCTGCAGGCGGGGCCGCCCGACGGCGTCGACAGCTGCTTCACCGACGTCGTGGCCAACCAGCTGGAGGCGAAGCGGGCAGAGTTGGCCAGGGCCCAGCGGGAGGCAGCGGAGCAGAAGGCCTCCACCATGCCGCGGTCGACTCTGCTGCACAAGGAGGCAAACGCCATTGGTAAGGCGGAGAAGCGGCTCCGCTCGGCCCGCCAGGTCTTTGAGCAGAAGCAGGCTGCGCGGGACCTCGCGGAGGTCCAGCTCCAGAAGGCCCAGGAGGAGCTCGCGGCGCTCGACGGCGAGGTGGAGGAGGCCAGCAGGGCGCTCCAGGTCCTCGAGGAAGCAGCCCGTGAGGAGGCAGAGGCGCGGCAGCGCCAGCGCGCAGCCGAGTGGGCTGGGGCCAGCCAGGTACCAGGGCTCCTCACGCAGCTGGACAAGCTGCCATAAGCTTGGGGCTCCAGCAACTTCGAGGTGGCATGGGCAGCCATTCGCACCCGGATGGAGGCGGTACGGGCGCAGCTCGCAGGGCCCCCGTCGGCCCCCAAGCGAGCGCCGTGGGCTGAGTCCTGCCCCGTGGACGAGATCAGCAGCGACGATGGCGATCTCGCAGGCAGCAGCGGCCCCTGGCAGCCGCAGCCCGCCGCGGACCGTGGCCAAGCAGGGCGGCGTGGCAGCGCGCATGGCGAGCGGCCGCAGGTGTCCCAGGTATGCAAGCGGGAGCTGGCTGCTGAGGCTGCGGACCTGGCCCCTCTGGCTGCTCGCCCCACTGGCCGCGCAGCTGGGGGCCGCGACGGAGGGTCGCAGCCAGGGCGGACGAGCGCGCAGCGAGGCCAGTGCGGCGGGGCCACGCCTGCACGTGCGCAGCAGCGCCGAGGTTGCCGGCTTTGGCAGCAAGCGGCCTCGCGACCCCGGGAGCGAGCCTGCCCCGCCGGCACCGGGCCAGGCCACGGCGGCGGCTCAGGGCATCCGCTGCGGGCTGGAGGTACTTGGGGTATACGGCGACGCCGGGAGGTGGAGCATGCAGGTGATCAAGGCCTCCGTCAGTCGGCACGGAGCCCAGCCCCACCTGGTGCGGCCCCAGGAGGCCTGCGTCGCCCCGCGCCGCCCAGAGGAGGCCAGAGGGGCTACGCGTCGCATGGATCACGCGGTCTTCCTCCGCCCGTTCGCGCCCTCGGACATCGAGGGCCCACTGGTGCAGTCAGGCAGCGTCGCGGCTATGGTTTGCAGCGCCCTGCGGGCAGCGGGTGTAGCACGGCAGGTCCGGAGCGACCTCACGCATCGCATGATAGAGGTCATTGTGTCCACCGCAGCAGGCCTGGGGCGGTCGGCCTGCTCGCAGATGCGCGGCCTGGACCTCCTGGCAGCCTATGAGGTGCAGCCCCGGCCCTGGGCGCCCAGGCAGCCATGATGGTCTTCGTTCCCAGGTCTGGCGGAGGAGTTCGACCGATCGCGTTCGCCCCACTGCTCTTGCGCATCTGGAGCCGCCTGAGGCAGCCGATCGGCGCGCTGTGGGAGGCGGAGCACGACCACTGCTGCCTCCTTGGGGGCAAGGCGGGCTGCGTGTGCGAGAGGGCATGTGGACTGCACAACGCATATGCGGCGTTAGCGCGTGAGAGCGGGTGTGCCTCCGCCAGCCTCTGCCTAGGCATCACCAAGCTCTACGTGAACCTGCGGCACGACTTCCTGTGGCGGTGTGGAGTCGAGCATGGCTTCGACCGGCGGCTACTTCGAGGTCTGCTCGTGCTCTACCAGAGGCCGCGTATCCTTTTGTTCCGTAGGCCTGGCCACCGAGTCGTTCACCCCCCAACCAGGCAGCGCTGGGCTGGAAGTGGCTCGCCTCCTCCGTGATCAGATTTTCCCCTTCAGTGCGGCCAAGACCGCCTTCCTCGCCTCGAGCCCCAGCGGCGCGCGGCAGCTTGGCGAGCGCTGGAAGACGCAGGGCTGGACTTTCTGTAAGGCCGCGCAGGCCAGGAATTTCAGCACGGGTGCCACCATCGCGAGGCAAGGAGTGCATGAGGGCCGAGTACGAGCTCCTGGGGCCCTACACCGTGCGCGCAGGCTGGGCTGCCTCCGCGCCGCGGGAGTGGAGCTGGACCTGATCCACAAGGCGGGGCCCGCGGCCTGCATGGGGCGGGGCCGCGCGGCCGTGGGCATCGCGGACAGAGTGCTTCACAGCTGGAGGCTTGCTGCAGGCCGCAGCGCAAGGACGCCCCACCTTGGCGCGGCGCTAGGGCCGTGCATGAGCGGCGCCGAGCGGAGGCGCAGGCGTGACCTCGATCCAGCGGTCCTCTCGGCCAGCAACGCGGTCCAGATGCTGGCGGGCCAGAGGCAGTCAGGCGAGCTGCCGCTCAGAATGTTGGCTCGGGGGCTGGAGGAGGCTGCAACAAGGAGTGCTAGTGCCGCCACTTGGAAGCGCCGCGCCTCGCCCATCGACGCAGTGGCGTGGACCCTGGCGCAGATCGATCGGCACTTCAAGTCGGAGCGGTGCCTGGTCGCGGATCGAGGCGACGAGCTCGATCCCATGCTCCTCGAGCTTCGAGAGGACGCAGATGCTGGCCTCGGAGCTCGGCAGGCCTCCGACCGCCATGGGATGCGGAAGCTCAGCCGCGACCCCCCCATGAGCGGCCGCCCTGCTCCAAGCGCGGCGAGTACATGGCGCGGGGCGCTTGCTCAGGAGTGAAGCCTCGCCTGAAGGCACGGGGCCCAGGCAGCAGGGCCGACAAGTCTGGCAGGAACCTGCGCAGCCTGCGGGAGAAGAGGCCCCATCCTGAGGGCTGGCCGAGAGCGGGCAAGCAGAGAGTGAAGGGAGAAGGCATCCCTGCACTGCGCGCTCGAGGGCAAGTGCCAGGACACGCCCAGGAGCGCTACCTGGAGTGGCTCGGCATCGAGGCGGTGCCAGCAGGAGGGCGAGAACAGGGCTCTTCGGCGCGCATGAGTTCAGCGAGGAGCGGCACGCCGCCGCGGCCAAATGGCGGGCGGGGCGCCCGTGAGCCGCTGGGAGCGCCTCCGTCTGGCGTATTGCGATCGCCGTCCGAGAGTGAGTGATAGTTCGCATCGGTGAGGCTCGCGCTGTTGCTCCCTGTGGTGAGTAGGCCCGCGTAGCCCTCAGTGCTCTCTGGGGCTCGGCTTCTCTCGGGAACTCTGTCCCGTCTGGCCCTGCCCGTTTTTGGTTTGCACGCCCGTCTTTAACCTTTAACCCTCCTCCCTTACCCGCGGATCGAGCTTTCCCGGAAGAGGAGAAGGCTGCAGCTGGACGCCCCTCCAGGGACCGGGGGGAAGATGGGGGACCCGGCTGCCTCAAGTGCCGGGAGGACACCAGAAACGCGGAGTGGGGATGGGCAGTGTGGGAGCTCTCGGCTCACCTCCACTGGGGTCCCGCCCGTCCGTACCAACCCTGATGCCACCGCAGCGCGCAGCTACGAGGCGTTGAGAGAAGGCCGGAGGAGACCCTCCCGGGGTGTGGCACCCCCGCCCCCACCCCTGCTCGGCTGAGGGGCGCGGCCCAGCCTGCGGGGAGAGGCAGTGGGGTGGAGGAGCGGAGGGGGGGGGAGGGGGGGCAGGAGGAGGAGGAGGAGGAGGAGGAGGAGGAGGAGGAAGAGGAGGAGGAGGAGGAGGAGGGGCGAGGGCTTGCCGACGGAAAAAAGGGGCGACGTCGAGAGGGCCCCGCGGGCGGGGGAGGGGATCCGCCCGTCTTCGACGCCCTCCTGCGGAGAGACGCCCCGCGGGCCTGCGCGCGGACCGCGCACGCGCCTAGGCGGGCAGGGGCGGGGGGAGGGGGAAAGGGGAGGCGGGGGGGAGGAAGGGGAGAGGGAGGGCGAGAGGGGGGGCGGGCTGGTGGACGCACGCGCCTGCCTAAGCTCGTTCCACCCCATGCCACCCCACCCTTGCAAAGGGTACCAAGAGAATGGTAGTCAGTCCCCACCAGCGGAAGGGGAGGAGGAGGAGGAGGAAGGGGAGGAGGAGGAGGAGGAGGAGGAGGAGGAGGAGGAGGAAGAGGAAGAGGAAGAGGAGTATGAAGAGAAAGAGGAAGATAAAGAGAAAGACAAGGAGAAAGAGAAAGTGACACAGAAAGAGAAGGATAATGAGTAGGAGAAGGAGAAGATGAAGGAGGAGTGTCTTGGACCAGCCGCATACCCCCTTCGGGCGGCACCTCCCGTGGACCACCGCTCCAATTCTGATCCTGCCATTTTTTCCTCTGTATCCGATTTGTCAAGGCCTGTCTCCACGATGCCAGGGTGGCAGATGTGCCGTTCACCAGAGCACATGTTTGGTGAAGTGATGAGTTGACGAGCGATCCGACACAGATGAGATGTGAGGCGCCCTCGAGTGTCACCTTCGGGGTGAACCGGTGGCCTCGAGGGTCTGTTGACTGGCCTGTGAACCACCGCTCCAATTCTGATCCTGCCATTTTTTCCTCTGTATCCGATTTGTCAAGGCCTGTCTCCACGATGCCAGGGTGGCAGATGTGCTGTTTACCAGAGCACATGTTTGGTGAAGTGATGAGTTGACGAGCGATCCGACACAGATGAGATGTGAGGCGCCTTCGAGTGTCACCTTCGGGGTGAACCGGTGGCCTCGAGGGTCTGTTGACTGGCCTGTGAACCACCGCTCCAATTCTGATCCTGCCATTTTTTCCTCTGTATCCGATTTGTCAAGGCCTGTCTCCACGATGCCAGGGTGGCAGATGTGCTGTTTACCAGAGCACATGTTTGGTGAAGTGATGAGTTGACGAGCGATCCGACACAGATGAGATGTGAGGCGCCTTCGAGTGTCACCTTCGGGGTGAACCGGTGGCCTCGAGGGTCTGTTGACTGGCCTGTGAACCACCGCTCCAATTCTGATCCTGCCATTTTTTCCTCTGTATCCGATTTGTCAAGGCCTGTCTCCACGATGCCAGGGTGGCAGATGTGCTGTTTACCAGAGCACATGTTTGGTGAAGTGATGAGTTGACGAGCGATCCGACACAGATGAGATGTGAGGCGCCTTCGAGTGTCACCTTCGGGGTGAACCGGTGGCCTCGAGGGTCTGTTGACTGGCCTGTGAACCACCGCTCCAATTCTGATCCTGCCATTTTTTCCTCTGTATCCGATTTGTCAAGGCCTGTCTCCACGATGCCAGGGTGGCAGATGTGCTGTTTACCAGAGCACATGTTTGGTGAAGTGATGAGTTGACGAGCGATCCGACACAGATGAGATGTGAGGCGCCTTCGAGTGTCACCTTCGGGGTGAACCGGTGGCCTCGAGGGTCTGTTGACTGGCCTGTGAACCACCGCTCCAATTCTGATCCTGCCATTTTTTCCTCTGTATCCGATTTGTCAAGGCCTGTCTCCACGATGCCAGGGTGGCAGATGTGCTGTTTACCAGAGCACATGTTTGGTGAAGTGATGAGTTGACGAGCGATCCGACACAGATGAGATGTGAGGCGCCTTCGAGTGTCACCTTCGGGGTGAACCGGTGGCCTCGAGGGTCTGTTGACTGGCCTGTGAACCACCGCTCCAATTCTGATCCTGCCATTTTTTCCTCTGTATCCGATTTGTCAAGGCCTGTCTCCACGATGCCAGGGTGGCAGATGTGCTGTTTACCAGAGCACATGTTTGGTGAAGTGATGAGTTGACGAGCGATCCGACACAGATGAGATGTGAGGCGCCCTCGAGTGTCACCTTCGGGGTGAACCGGTGGCCTCGAGGGTCTGTTGACTGGCCTGTGAACCACCGCTCCAATTCTGATCCTGCCATTTTTTCCTCTGTATCTTATTTGTCAAGGCCTGTCTCCACGATTCCAGGGTGGCAGATGTGCTGTTTACCAGAGCACATGTTTGGTGAAGTGATGAGTTGACGAGCGATCCGACACAGATGAGATGTGAGGCGCCCTCGAGTGTCACCTTCGGGGTGAACCGGTGGCCTCGAGGGTCTGTTGACTGGCCTGTGAACCACCGCTCCAATTCTGATCTTGCCATTTTTTCCTCTGTATCCGATTTGTCAAGGCCTGTCTCCACGATGCCAGGGTGGCAGATGTGCTGTTTACCAGAGCACATGTTTGGTGAAGTGATGAGTTGACGAGCGATCCGACACAGATGAGATGTGAGGCGCCTTCGAGTGTCACCTTCGGGGTGAACCGGTGGCCTCGAGGGTCTGTTGACTGGCCTGTGAACCATCGCTCCAATTCTGATCTTGCCATTTTTTCCTCTGTATCCGATTTGTCAAGGCCTGTCTCCACGATGCCATGGTGGCAGATGTGTTGTTTACCAGAGCACATGTTTGGTGAAGTGATGAGTTGACGAGCGATCCGACACAGATGAGATGTGAGGCGCCTTCGAGTGTCACCTTCGGGGTGAACCGGTGGCCTCGAGGGTCTGTTGACTGGCCTGTGAACCATCGCTCCAATTCTGATCCTGCCATTTTTTCCTCTGTATCCGATTTGTCAAGGCCTGTCTCCACGATGCCAGGGTGGCAGATGTGCTGTTTACCAGAGCACATGTTTGGTGAAGTGATGAGTTGACGAGCGATCCGACACAGATGAGATGTGAGGCGCCTTCGAGTGTCACCTTCGGGGTGAACCGGTGGCCTCGAGGGTCTGTGGACTGGCCTGTGAACCACCGCTCCAATTCTGATCTTGCCCAGAGCCCCGACCAGGAGCCCTGCCAAGGGTGGGGTGTCGTCTTCACCTCACTTCTCTACACCACTTTTCCCTTTCTTCATCTCTCATCCCCTTCCACAGCGGGGCGCTGCCGAGTCTGCGTTGCCCACGGAGTCGACGGCGTCGCCCTGCCGGGCGCAGATCTTTGCGCGGCGCACCGAGAGTACAGCACGGCCTCGGATGGGACCGACTCGGGCCTCACCCAGTCGATGGAAGCGCTCGCCGTGGACTCCCCGGCGCCGACTGCTGCTGTGGCCGCCCCGCCGGGCTCGGGCGACTCCGCGGCCGCAGCCGGGCTGCAGCGCGCGGCAGGGGCGCCGCGAGCAGTGGCCCAGCTAGGGCGGCATGCCTTCCTGCTGGTGGGCGCAGCAGGTTCGTCTTCCTCCTCGCACCTCCTCCTCCTCCTCCTCCTCCTCCTCCTCCTCTTCCTCCACCTCCTCCTCCTCCTCCCTCCTCCTCCTCCTCCCCCTCCTCCCCCTCCTCCTCCTCCTCCTCCTCCTCCTCCTCCTCCTCCTCCTCCTCCTCCTCCTCCTCCTTGTCGAGACCTAGCTGGGCCACTGCTCGTATCGGCCTTGTCGAGACGGCAGTTCTACAGCATTTCGACGTCATCCAGGCGGCCTCCACGCTCAACGGCGGCTCGATCGGTCTGGCCCCCAAGGATTTGCTCACCGGCCGGGAGCCTATGGTATCCGCTCCCCGCTCCCTTGCCTTCGACCCCGACGCGGTCGACGAGTGGCACTGCTTAGGCATTATGCCGGCGGCAGGCCCGAAATTTTCCGAGCTGTTGGTCGAGCAGCGATCTGTGATAGCAACGACGCTCCTCTCCTTATACTCCTGTTCTTCTTGGGCTGCGGCTGACAAGGACTTGGCCGATGCCTTTCACGAGCGGTTGGAGAGGACCAGGGAGGCTTCTCTCGCTTTGCTTCCAGGGGTACTTCGAGCTCGTTCACGGGATCCTCGGCACTCTTGTCCAAGTTGGGCGGAGCTCGGGCGGGAGGCCACAGCGATGGTCTTGCACTCCGCCCCCCAGCCAGAGGAAACAGTTGCTACCCAATTGCCGGACGTCTTGGGCTCTGGCCAGAGCCCGCTCCCAGACACAGTGTTGGCCCCCCGGGCGGCTCGGGATCTTGTTATTTTTCTGGCGGTTGATGGCGTTCGCGCTCTTGCCTCCGTCGGTGCAGGTGGCTTGGCGTGCTGGTGCCAGGCGGATGCTTCGACGATTGGCCGCCTCAGGGAATCTTGCATGCAGCGCGCTGC